AAAAGTTATTATGCAGAGTTAACATGACCCAGCAATTTTATATGCGGTAGAAATAGACAAAGAATTGAGATTATTAGCCAATAACAGAAAGTGTTTAATTTAGACTTAAGAAAGTCTTTATGTATGGAAATTTTTAAAGAATGGGATTAAACCTATTTTAGTTTCCTGCCTTGGGCATCATGAGCAATTGCACTGTGGAGTAGGAAGAGTTGAGATAGCCGGCCATCCCAGCTTCCCTGAAAGTCATGCCCCTTAGGACAGGGACGTGTGCCTGCAGGAGAGTTTGTTCTCACTGTTCCTGCCCATAGTAGATAGGTCATAGGAAGACAACTGGCTAAAACAAGACCAACAAATTTAATTCTTAGAAATGTGCCATTGGAATTTAGAAAGCACAGCCTGTTAACGGACACGGGGTTTGGAAGCAGTACAAACCCAGGGGTGATGGCATTGCCCATCATGTGCCCTGAGGAATAGCCAAAGCTAATCCTGGAGTATGAAAAAATCAGCCTATACACACAAATACAAGAGCAAATGACGATGGTGCTGAGGAGAGCAGAGACTGACCAGTTTCTGTGAAACCTGGCTGTCCTTCCTGATTACAGGTTTCAGGCAAATCCCTGATGTCCTCCTGATACATTGCACTTACTGTATTGTTATGCTGAATGTGTTTCTGTAGCTTGCAATTAAACAACATTTAATGCAGAGAGAGGTAAATTATGACATCTGGGGTCATTTAGGAGAAACCAACCTGAAAGCAGAAAGAATTAATAACATTGGAAGTTTTCTTCTCTTGATATAATTGAGTGAAAAGTACTGTTCTTAGCTAAAGGTTAACTTGCATAGGTACAGCTATCTTAGGCAGGACTCCTATCTTGAAAATTGGTACAGATAACATTTTAAGTAAAAGTATATGATAATAGTGTTACATTCTGCTACTAAAAATCCCAATAATAATTTTAATCCTGTATTTATTGAATACTTAGTATGTATCAGGTATGTAAACACTTTGCATGCATTATTTGCTCTACTACTGTCATGGGTCACTTAACGACGAGGATGCCTTATGGGAAATATGTCATTAGGCGATTTCGACATTATACGAGCATTGTAGAGTGAACTTACACAAACTTAGATGGTATAGCCTACTATACACCTAGGCTATTTGGTATAGCCTGTTGCTCCTAGGGGCATGTTACTATATTGAATACTGCAGGCAATTGTAACACAGTGGTAAGTATGTATCTAAACACATATAAACATAGACAAATTAGAGTAAAATATGGTATAAGATAAAAAATGGTTCCACTGTATAGGGCACTTACCATAAATGGAGTTTGCAGGACTGGAATTTCCTCTGCATGAGTCAATGAGTGAGTGGTATGTGAATGTAAAGACCTAAGACATTACCGTACACTGCTATAAACTATAAGTACTGTACAGTTAGGCTACATTAAATTTATAAAAAAAGTTTCTTCAATAATAAATTAACCTTAGTTTACTGTAATTTTTTCAATTTATAAGCTTTTAAGTTTTTAAAAACTTTTTGATTGTTTTATAATAACATTTAGCTTAAAATACACATTGTACAGCTGTGCAAAAATATTTTCTTTTTTGATAGCCTTCTCCTATAAGGTTTTATTCTATTTTAAAAATTTTTTATGTTTACTTCACTTTTTAAACTTTTTTGTTAAAAACTAAGACACAAACACATACATTAAAGTAGGCCTACGCAGGGCCCGCATCATCAATATCACACTGTTTTTGGCCTCCACATCTTGTCCCACCGGAAGGTCTTCAGGGGCAATAACACATATGGGAGTTGTCATCTCCCATGATATCAATGCCTTCTTCTAGAACACCTCCTGAAGGATCTGCCTAAGGCTGTTTTACAGTTAACATTTTTTATATTAATAAGTAGAAAGCGTGTGCTCACAAATAATAAATAGTATAATAAATTCATAAACCAGTAACATAATCATTTATTATCATTATCAAGTATTGGGTACTGTATATAATTGTGTGTGCTATGCTTTTATATGACAGGCATCACAGTATGTTTGTTTTTACCAGCATCACCACAAAAACATGAATAGTGCATTGTCCTACAATGTTATGAGGCTATAATGTCACTAGGTGATATGAATTCTTTAGCTCATCTTATGAGACCACCATGGTATATATAGTCCTTCTTTGACTGGAATGTCATTATGTGCTGCATAGCTGTATTGCAACTTCATAACATGAGGACTGTTTTTGACTTGGTATTTTTATATGATTAGAAATATGAGGTAACCTCAGAATAAATGATCTTATTCCTATTTCAGAAGAAAGACCAATAGAAGGATGAAATATGATATGGTCTCTATGCCATGTGTTATCTCCTGGTTATAATATAGTTTGTGGATTTCTTAAAATGGCCAAGTCATGGAAAATAGCCTGACCAATGTAGTGGTATCATTAGCTTGAATGTTCTAGACAATACATTTCAATTAATTAATTGATGCACTCATAAGTCAACAAAGATTTAGTTGAAATCTAATGGAATTAGATTGAAATCTATATGGAAAATATTCTACTGAGTGCTAGGGGAGTAAAAATAAATTAGAAATAGTGGTGGAAGGATACATACAAACAGGCAGATGTTACTGCAGAAGTTAGAGCGAAGAACTGTGGCTGCACACTTTCTAGGAGGAAATCAGAGGTAGATGCTTAGGAGGTGTCAGGAAGGCTGAATATGGGTGTATCAAGAGTGGCAAAGGAGGAGAAGCACTTCGGCCAGAGGGAATACACAAGCACAAAAGCACAAAGCCTTGTGGTATCTTCAGAACAGCAGTTCTTTGTTGCTGGAGTAAAGATGTGTATATACTAGAAGAGAAGTCCTACAAGGACATGAGACTGGAATGTGTCTTTTATACTAAATAATGAGTCCACCCTTAGTCCTAAATGCCACCATGAGAACAGAGTTTGTAAAGTCAGGACTGATAAATGCCCATTTGTTTATCAGAAGGTAACTAACAGCTGTCGGGAGAATGGACTGAAGTCAGGAAAATAAGAAAGCTGTTATAGAAGTCTAGAGACTGGAAACAGTGGGGCTTGAAAAAGGCAAGGACAATGGAGTAGAGAAATAAAAATGGGTATTCAGGTGATGTTTTCAGATAGAATCAGCATGATTTAGTGATGCATTAAACATGGGACAGGAAGGAGACATGTGATAATTCCAAGGCTCCTAGCTGAGAACCCTGTGCGCAGTATACCAATAACAAAAGAAAGAACAGAGGAGTTCAAACAGTTTTGGAGGGAGATTGGGAAGGTAACAGGATTAGGCTTTGGCAAGCTGCATTTGAGAAGCATGTAGAATAGGTAGCTGGAGATGTCTAGCAGCCACTGAAAGTGCAACCTCAGATTACATTTGCTTTGTAAGCAATCATGACCCATCGTCAATTGACATTCACATCTTTTAGGACGTGTACTGTCATCAAGCACTTTTCCCACCCTTCCCATTATCCTGAAAAAGAAAACTTTTTATTATCCTAACTGGGAAACTTATCTAATTTTCTTATTAAATTTTATTTTGTGGGTTTCTGTCAAGATAATTTTGCATCTTGATAGACAGAAGACTTGTTGGTTAATCACAGATTTCAGCTTTTTGTTATTCACAGTCTAATAATCTGGCACTATTTCTTTACCCAAGTGGTTAAAAATGTTGAGTGGGACCAAAAGCAAACACTAGGGTTCACCAGCACTGAGGAGTTGTGATTATTCCACATTTCGTGCCATGCCTTTGCCCCTAATCTGCTTACCCTTTTCTACCTTGCTTTTACTCCAGAAATTTGACTCTTACTGACTACGTAAATGGAGCACCTTTTCCCTCTGGCTTCTGGTTGGATCTGCCAGTGGAAGACACAGGAAGGGGATCTGACAGTGGAAGCAGGGAGAGATCAAGATACTGTTTTCTCTACTCTCTCTCTCTTCCTCAACTTTGGGGGCTCTGTCAGTGATTGTTTTGGCCATGCTCTCCTCCTTTCTTGGCTCCAACTGTCACTGGGCTCTAGTGACATCATGATCTCTCTTTAGCCCCTCATGTCCACCAGCAGTAATGGGTTCTGAGTCCCTGGGTATCACAACATACCTGTTGGTACCCTTGGATCCACTCACATCTATGCAGAAAGACCATTACATTCTATCCAAAATCCTGGTGAAGCATCTTGTTCTACTGCCCTGGCCTGATGAATACACTATCACTGAATATGACATTTTAGGTGTCTCTATTATGTGATTTTTCAACATGATACAATGAAGTTATTACTATAGAGAACTTATAATATTTCACTTAAATAATTCTTCTATCATCCCAACACTATTTGTTACTACAAAATGATATAGTATAATAGCTTCAAACAATTGGAGGGGAAAAAAATCCCAGCTGTGATCAGAGTACACAGTGCACACACACTCCAAACCCTCACTTCCATTAGTTCATTATACAGTTGTTATTTCCCCACTGTGAAAATCATAAGTCGAGAGTAACTGTTTGAAGTAGAAATGATATACCAACTTATAAATGTCTCATGAAGAGTAATCATTTGTAATTTAGTCATATGAGGTCACTGCACAGTCCCAGGGTACCCTGGGTACTGTTTACTACATAACGAGCAACTAGGTTACTCTGATCATAGCTACTACCCATCAAATGTGATCCAGCTAAAAGAGATTTGGATGTTTACAGTCTCAATCTTATTGATTGCACTACTGTAAGTAGAAAGAAGACTGTATTTGGTATCAAAAGCTTAGGAGTAAGGGTCTCTTTCTTGCCCTACGAAGGGTAGGCAAGGGCTCAGTTGCCGAGACCATAGAAGCAATGTTCAAATAGTCAGGGTTCTTGGAAGACTCTCTATTTGCTATTTAAAACACATCAGTCCCTTGACTGATGTGTCAAATATAGTGAAATGAGGGATGATGGGTAGGGAGTGGGGGCTAGAGGTGGGGAAGGACATAATTACTCTCAAGTCTTCTGGTGTAGAAATTTTCATCATGGTCCATTCTTTTCTTCCACCATAGGATATTCCTATTCCAGTTTTCTGAGAACATAAATGGCTGTTTGGTCACATCAAAAAATCCCAATCCCAAAGCCAAAGGCATTATTAAGCCCCAGTATGATGCTGGAAAGCTGAAAAACAGAAAACAAAACAAAACAAAATAAACAAACAAAAAAACTGAAGCAACTTCTGCCAGGACCAAATAGTAACTTGTCAGTAGTGGAGCAACATTTAGAAATGTGGCTACGTCTGTTACTCAGATGGTGACACTATAGGGAAATTCCAAGTGGTAATAATCTTCATTTATTCTTAGAGTTGTGAAAACAATACATACCTTAAGTGATTTAACAATGCTTTCTTAAAAGGTTATGGTATGCAGATGATGTTCAATGAAAGTAGAAAGGTTTTCCCTGTATAATTAGATGTCACATTCCTCAAAATGGAAATTTAGGGCTTTCTCTGTTGGAATTTTTTTAAAAAGGCTTCAGGAAGTCTTATGTGTCCATCTTTTAAATCAGTTGAAATACTTTTATTACTCATGTTGAGATTGCTTAGTGCCCGTTATGAAACTTGGGTATTACATTATTAATAAATTAACTTTCTTTTTCTTAAAGCTTTGAAAGCACTAATATTATGTTTCTATTAAAACATCACATTTTTCCTGTTACTTTCTGTATTTTTCTACGATCTCTTAAGAGTAAAATTACCTTGATCTTCTCTTTTAATGTTGTCTTTTTCATTTTTCCTTTCTTCTATTGAATTTTGCTTTCATTGTCTAAAATAGAGAATAGAGATTTTTAAAAGACTGCAATGTGCATCCATCGAGCACTTGCTATAAGGCATGCACTATGCCCACCTCTTTGCATACATAGTCTACCACAATTTGGTTATTCCAAGATTCCGCGGGAGAGTGTCTTACTTTATATTAAACATTTTTTAGAACTTAGAGAGTTAACTAACTCATGTAAAATAACACAGTCAGTAAGTGTTAGACTTGAGATTTGACCTCAAACTTGTCTAAGAGCAATGTTTTCCAGTCTTATAAAAAATTTGTTACTACTTGTAATTATTTCATGACACTTTGTGTTTCTTGCTCAAAGTAAAAGCAAAACAAGAAGGAAAAAAACACCACACAAAAGTAAATCTTGTGGAGCATTTCATATTTTGCTTCTTAAAGCAAAAATTAATTTACATTTTATTTTTGTGACTACTGGTAGACCATTTTTTCCCTCTAAAGTTCAAAGGTTTAAAAATCTCTTTAAAATAGCTTAAACCCTTCAAAGACGAAGAAATACTGCCATTTCTAAATCATTTTTTCTGATTTTTCACTTAAAACATACTATATTCTACATATACCTACTAATTTTTTAATTGAGGAAAATCTCCTTTTTCCCCTAATTGCAAAATCATCTTAAAATATGACATATTTTTATTCATTGATTATCAGTAGAACAGTCTATTATATGAATTATACAATTTGTATAAGTTTATCTTTGAAATTGAGATTATTTTGCTTTTGTTGAGTACACACTGTAAACCAAAATTTGATGGATTTAATAAATTAGATTTCAGCAAGCAACCTGCTTGTGAGGAATAAAGACCCAATTGGTCAGCTCACTGAAGCAGGAGTGGATGTGATGGTGCCCCCATGGCCATTCAGTAAATCAATTTCCTGATAAATCTTTGCTTACAGAAAATGTTTTAAGTATCAGGACAATATACCATATATTGGCCTATATTCTCTATGGCTAACTCTGAAGAGGAAGTTTGACCTGAAGCTTTGAGAGTTTGCTTGAAACTTGGAGATATTTCTTGGTCAAGGATAGTATAGTATAGCCCTTGTATAGAAGTCAACTTATTCCTGATTATTACAGGGCTAGATTACAGTATAGATTACAGGCTATAACTTAGGTATACCATTAATGAAGGACACAGTTTAGTGTAGAGGTTAAAAATGATGGATCTATATTAAAGCTGGGTTCGAATCCTGGGTTTACTACTTATTCTCATTGTCACCTTGGACAAATTACCTAATCCTTTTAAGTATTCATCTTCTCACTCTAAATAGATTAAGACTACCAATCTTATTGAGTTGTAGAGTATAGAAAATGGTCTATGTCTGGTACTTAGCACAGAGTCTGTTCTGCTTTGCAAAGGTTAGCTTTGACTTGGATATTAAACACAACATCTGTAACCATTAATGCAGCAGATTAGCCCATGGTGCTAGTAAGTGTATGGTTATGTGGTCAATGCTCTATGGAGGCCAATCAGCCTTACTCTGATTCATGGCCTCAGCTTTACTCAGCAAGGCCATAAGTATGCCAGAATAAATCTATACCCATTACTGGAGAAAAAAATCAAATGTCTGCCCCTAGGCTGGTCAGTCAGTAAGGTCACCTTCATACACAAAGAACAATATTAATGTTAAGTCTGTCTGCTCAAAAATAAAATGTTCACCTGCAGTTACCTTTGAGGACTGGGAGAAGTCAATGAATTAGTAAAATCTTATGAAAGAGCGAAGTTACATTGGAAAGGAAGTTCACAGTGAGTAGATTTCAAGCAGGAGCTTGGTGAGGCTACTGCCACAGAACTAGTTATAAGAAGGACTAAATATGACTGGAATAATTTGGATATATGATGTCAATTAAACCATATTGTCACATGAAATTCCTTACATAATTGGAGATGTGAAAATTGGTTCCCTTTCCAATAAAGAAGCACTCTTGAGTAGAAATTAAAAACAAAGTCAAAAGATAAACACTCTTTACTGGTGTTTATTCCACTCTTGCCAAATGTTGTATAAATAATAAAAGGATATTAGTTTCAGATTATCAGCTTGCCAGAGGCACAGAACAGCAAAAGTAAACATCAGGGGTAATGTGGTTTCCTTGATGATGTATGAATATAATAGCGAGGTGGTAATATGAAGAGAACCTATGAATAAAAGAATTTGATTTTTTTCTGGTTTCTGCCATTGGCGAATCCTTTGGCACAGGCAGTGTGAGACGTACCTTGATAAGTAGTGGGGATGATGCTTTACTGAATTAGTCTGGTGAAAAACAGACCATAATATCATAATTTACTTATCATTTGGGGCTTACCTCAATTTTAGAGTTCTTGACAGCTACAAAAACTCATCAGGTTAACTAAAAAATCAAATTATCACCTTGCTTCCCTGGAGAAGGAGAACAAGCACATTCATCATCATTTAGAATTTTTTTTAACAACATAGATTAACAGTAAAGTAGTATCTTACATCTTTAAAGTATTTTACACTCTCTTGGGTGCTTTCACTTGCAGTAGCTCTCTGACACGCAGAAGTCAGGAGAACCAAGAAGACTACCTTCCTAACCATGCAGTTTTATGAAGACCAGGATGAATTAACAGGAGACATGGTGAAGGCTGCATTCATAAAAAGCTCATATCACAGTTTCTGGTGTACTCGGGAAGGACTCACAGAATTAAAACACATTTGCTGCCTGACAAAAAAAAATGCCAAAACTATTTGGCCCACCTATGCAATTGAAACTACAGTTTCTTCTCATTCACGAAAGCTGTATTTTCCTTTATTTTCCTTGCTCTCTGCCCTGCTCCTTTAAAAAAAAAAAAACTCAAATGAGAGCGGTATCAGGAGCCTCTTGCGGCCACAGAAACACTCAAAGTGCCTGCACCAGTACAGACTTTGACAAACATCAAAGATGAGAGGAATAAAAAAAAATGAGAATTTTTTTTTCTTCATTTGGTCTTTGCTGAATCTTCAGTCATTTTTGGCGCATGACATTACTTATTTGTGTCAATTCTTACCTCTTTTCCCCCAACATTTTCCTTCCATAAGGCCTTCAAGTCTTTGCTCAAATCTTACCTTCTCAGGGACGTTATCTTTTGAAACTTGCACACATCCCTTAACATTGTGTGTGTGTGTGTTGGGGTGGGGGAGGGGGGACGTGATCCCTTGTCTCACCCTAAATTTTTTCATCACCTTCTAAGGTAGTATATAATTTTCATATTTAAGTTTGTTGTTCATGATCCATCTCTCATCACTAGAATGCAAGCTCCAAGAGGGCAGGGATCTTTGTTTAGCTCACTGATGAACACGCAAAGAAATATATGCTGAGTGGAAGAACAAACCAATGGTTTTCTTTTGTTTTTCTTATAGGTAACTCAATACTAACAAGCATCCCAACCAACTCTCATTTTAAACTTTTAGAAGATGGCCAGGGAAAAACGTTAACATGCATGTGCTGAACATCTTATTTTGCAGAGAGGAATAGAAGCATGTTTCAATAGAGATATGAAAAAGCTGCTGAAGGTCTAGCACAGAACTTACTAATAGTGTGTAACAAATTATTGGGCTTTAGAAATTCAATTTAGTTCTCAACATGTGCCACTTCACCACCTGCATACACATGAGTCACACCCATACCCGCTCTCTCTGCCAGCTCCACCTTTTATCCTCCCCCTCATTAGCCAACACCTAATTACATACTAATTGGCCCAGAGAACACAAGCTTGTTATTGCACTAAAAACACTCAGAGCTCCCCCACAGACAGATTCTCATGAAAACCAAATATAAAAGGAGTTGGCCCACTGCCTGGTTTTCATTAGGACTAAGCTAGATTCTTCTAGGTCCTGGCCATACAGATTAGTGTTTGTTTTCAGGCTTCTCCTAAGTCATAGTTTTCAGGGGCACATTTCAATACTCGGGACCAGCCAATGGGACCAACCAGATTTGAGTCTCTCATGTGGGCAGCAATTTCGGCCAGAAAGGACCTTTATATATGACCTGGATCGTTATATGAATGGTTCATTAGACAGAGACACCTGCAGCTCACCAGGAAGATTTCTTCATTAAGCTTACTATTGTTCCCCTTATGTGATCCCTGAACATCAAAGTGTTCAAACTGCAACTCTCTAAGATTAGATAAACTGACTCTATAAATATATTAGGAACATGAACATGTAGCTCTTTTCACTGAAATACATTTTTCTTCCCATGGAAAACACACCAAACCATTCCTGCCATCAAAACACAAATAAATGAGCTGCGACTAATGACAGAATATTAGGAGTCTGAGTGGAGATGCAGTTTTGTGAAACTGTGGGTTTCTTTTTTTTTTCCAACTAGCATCTGGTACTGTAATTACCAGTAAGGATAGGTTCAGACACCTGGAGGAGGAGACAAAAATATAGAACAGAGTGTCCACATTGGCTGCATACTGCTCTCCCACACTCCCCTAGTGTGGGCGAGGTGGGGGCGGCACCAGGGGGAAGATGCTTGCCATGTTCGGAAATGGAATGCCATATCAGGGCAGGAAGAATTAAGAACAAGGAGGGAAGAAACCCTTCAAGCTACATCTGTCTCCCCAAAGGAGCCACAGTCCAGCTCCAATTGCGTATATAAAAGAGATGAACAATTTTGGAGAGTCCACTGCAAATTGTTGTTGCTTTGCTTTGATGGTGTGAGGCAGGGGCTGAAATATGGATTCCCTACTTGGATAAGCTGAGATTCTGAGTATTATTTAATCAAACTTCACTGCAATGCAGAGATCTCTTAAACAATATCTGTGTCAGATTATTATTCTATCTCTGAACAACTCTAGTGGTGGGAAACCTACTTGATAATCCAGTCCTTTTGAAGAAAGGCTGCATTTATATATACTCCTTTAAGTATCACAGATACCACAACGAACAATTATATGAGTGTAACTGTACTTTACATTTAAAGTGTTTATGTTCTTTTTCATTTAAACCTCATGCTATAATTTCCACATTCTGAGTATTGTTAATATTGTTATTATTATTAAATGAACAAATAATTAACGTACAAAGGGTGGTATACAGCATCCAACACATGGTAAGGCCTCAATAACTATTAGTTGAGTGAACAAATCTTTTTAAAGCACAGTGCCAGTTTCATATGTGCTGGAAACTTATTTGGTGAATGTCTTGGCCCGGGTTCTTAGTTACAGACAATAAAACCCACTTTAGCATGTTTAAATGGAGATGAATTTATTAAAAGGCATAAACAGCGTAGAATCATTGAGAAGCCTGAAGAAGCAGACTCTTCTTTTCCAGGAAAGCCCCAAACCGCACCACACAATTGGGTTCTTTTTTTTTTTTTTTTTTTTTTTTGAGACGGAGTCTTGCTCTGTCGCCCAGGCTGGAGTGCAGTGGCTGGATCTCAGCTCACTGCAAGCTCCGCCTCCCGGGTTTACGCCATTCTCCTGCCTCAGCCTCCGGAGTAGCTGGGACTACAGGCGCCCGCCACCGCGGTGTGCTGCTGCTGATCCAATGGTTCAGAGTGAGAGAGTCCTTGCTGCCTGCTCTGGAACCATGCCAAGTCTGCCAGGGTGTGCATGGCTGACTGAATGCCTTTCAGCTGTTTCTCTCCACTCGTAACTACATTTCAAATTAAAACTCTGCATGAGTGTGTCTGATTGGTAGACTCTAATTCAAATAAGGAACCTCCTCCACTGGAACCTTAGAAATAGACTTTTTAATGTTTCATCTGTCTAAACACATCAAGTGAGCTGAACACTCACATCATCTGCCACAGTGGGGTGGGAGCTGTGAGCAGGGACCTGAGCAATAGCTCATGAGGACAAAGGACTTGGGCAAACTGACTTCTTCCCAGGCCATCAGCAGTATCTGAGCAATCTGAGATGAATTACACAAATTCATAAGATTTGCAAACAGTATGAACTACTCCACCAACCTCTTCACCCTCTTGTTCTCCCAACATGATGAATGTGTGATTCATCATGATCTGATTCTGGCCTTCACTTCTGCCCATCCTTACCTACAAATTAATATCAACACCTGCTTGGAGTCCACTGAGCAAATAAATTGCCATTTCTTGCCTCTGCATCTTTATTTTTATTATCTCTTTGCTTTATTTCACTTTTTCTTTCTGTGGGTTTTCCTGACTCAGGGTCAAGTTTGGGCATTACCTCTACTAGAAAGCCTTCCTTAATTCTCCAATACTGGGTCAGTTGTCTCTGCTGTAGTATCAAGTACATTATCTTTGTAAAACTTATAATATTTAATTATCATCACTTTGTGGGTACATGTCTCTCTCATTGTATTGTGAGTTCCTTGAAGGACAGGTCCACAAATTATTCATCCTCATGTTGAAATATAGTATCTAATAGTATTCATCAGGGATGGATAACTCCTTTAACAAACAATACAAACATTTCAATGGCTTGATTCAGTAAATATTTATTGAATAAACATCTATTGCTTACTCACATTATAGTTCAATTTGAGTCAGTGGAGGCTATGCTCCACCCAGTCATTCAGGAATCCAGGCTATTTTTATTATTCAACTCTGCCATATTTCAGGCTCCTATTTTCTTCTCCTTTATAAAGAAAATAGAAAAAGAAAAAAACAAAGAATTGTGGCAGAGGTATACTACTTTTTAGGTGGTAGACCTGGAAGAGGTATATACGACTTCCGTGTATGTTCCTTTGACTAGAACTTAGTCTCTTGTTCCCACCTAACTGCCAGGGAGTTGGAAAATGAAGTCTAACTGTGAGGTCAGGGAGAAGAAGAAATGCCATTTAGTTAATACACAGGATTACTTATACCACAATACACATTTCTGGCCACCAAATGTCTTTCTTTCTCTTATAGGAGAGACAACTCAGAGTCCCATTCAATCACAGTGTACAGCTCAAAGATCAGAATCTCTTGGTGATGCTCAGTTCTCTCCACCATGATCCTAGAAGTTAAGAATTAGAAAGACAAATTTTCTGCAAGTGCCACCCCACTCCAATCTTATGCACCCAATATATAGTGGTACAACAAGAACAAAATAACTTCAATAATATCTCCCATTCAGAAAAGTGAAAAATAAAAGATGCAGCAGTTACTTATTCATAGCATATTAAAATACTTTAGGCCAGGGGGTGAGCAAATATTTTCCCCTCCCTCCCTCCTTTCTTCCCTTTTTCCTTTCCCTTCTTTCCTCCCTTCCTTCTTTCTTTCCCTCCTTCCTTCCTTCCTTCCTTCCTTCCTTCCTTCCTTCCTTCCTTCCTTCCTTCCTTCCTTCCTTCCTTCCTTCCTCTCTTTTTCTTCTCTTTCTCTTTCTTTCTCCTTTTGAGATGAGACCTTGCCAGGTTGCCCAGGCTGGTCTTGAACTTCTGGGCTCAAGCAATCCTCCCACCTCAGCCTCCCAAACAAATGCTTTCCTGAAGGACATTCAATTCCTATTTCCTAAAATGGCCAATATTTTAGGTTTGCAGGCTATATACTGCCCACTGTGCCTCAACTATTACTCAACTATGCCATTGTAGTTCAAAAGAAGCTATAGAGAATACATAAAGCCCAGCTGTATTTCAATGAAGCTTTATTTATAAAAACAGTACACATGCATCTGGCCTGTAGTCTGCAGATCTATGCTTGAGACAAACATTCCGAAGTCTGTCTAACTTAGAGGTGGGGAGAGTTGCTTGATTAGGGCCTGATCTCCCTTTTTGGGAAGAATTCCAGTGTCTGTTTTTACTCCAGAGCATCTGGCTCAACACTAAGAGATTTTTTTTGTTTATTATTCTACTGGACCATATCTGAAATGGGAATTGAGGAATATGCACAGCTATCTCAACTGCTTCTAGCTACAGCAAGTGGAAAACATAAAGTTTGTTTTATAGTACAGACCATCAAAGACTCACGTTGTCTTTGGCAATATGATTATCTCAACAAATCAGTAGGCTTCTGATTTATTTGGTCCCAGTCAGTTCCACATGTAAATGACTACATAGATCTTTTCTAACCATAGCTGTAAAACATGCCTTATTTTTAAGTTTATTTTCCTCATGTCTTTCTCAGTTTAATAAATTACCTTAATATCATCTAAACCAATGATTAGGAAGACCACACTAGTGCTGTACAGTAGGGTTTACTGTAGTGTTGATCAACTGACAATGTTTCCTGCTGCCTTGTTGGTCAAGATCTTTTAATTTTTTATCTTACTAACTGGGATCTGAAGCAATCAACTGTTCTAACTCTAGGATGCTTCATATTTCTGGATTCTGTATGCCCTTTCATTTCTGCTTAAAAATCAGACACTGAAAACCAATGATAATAAAAATATAGTGATACTCTAATGCTAATCACTTCCCCTAGAGCAACAGATTCAATAGGTATATGGATTATTAATAATTTCGTAGGGCTGCCATAACAAAGTATCACAAATTGGGTGACTTACAACAATAGAAATTTATTGTCTCAGAGTTATGGGGCTAGAAGTCTGAAATCAAGTTGTTGGCAGGGTTGGTTTCTAGTGCAAGGGTCTGAGGGAAAGTCTGTCCCATGCTTCTCTCCTAGCTACTGGTGGTGATTGGCAATCCTTCATGTCTCTTTGGCTGTTGATGCATCACTCCAACCTTTACTTCTGTCTTTGCATCATCTTCCCTCTGTGTGTATGTATCTCTGTCTGTGTCCAGATTTCCCTCTGCTTATAAGGAGAGTAATGTTGGAATAAGGCTTACTCAAATAATCCCTTTTTAACTTGAGTACAGCTGCAAAGATCCTATTTCAAAATAAGGTCACATGTACTGGGGATTAAAACTTCAAGATACTGGCCTGGTGTGGTGGCTCACACCTGTAATCACAGCACTTTGGGAGGCCGAGGTGGGCAGATCACGAGGTCAGGAAATCAAGACCATCCTGGCCAACATGGTGAAACCCCATCTCTACTAAAAATACAAAAAATTCAGCCGGGGGGGTGGCAGGCGCCTGTAGTCCCAGCTACTTGGGAGGCTGAGGCAGGAGAATCACTTGAACCCGGGAGGCAGAGGTTGCAGTGAGCCGAGATCACACCACTGTGCTCCAGCTTGGTGACAAAGCAAGACTCTGTCTTGGAAGCATATCATCTGCTTTCCAAGTTATTGCAGGTGACAATTTTTTTTGTTTGTTTTTTGTGAGACAGAGTCTCTCTCTTTTGCCCAGGCAGTAGTGCAGTGGCATGATCTCAGCTCACTGAAACCTCTGCCTCCCAGGTTCAAGCGATTCTCTCGTGCCTTAGCCTCACGAGTAGCTGGGACTACAAGCGTGCACCACCACACCAAGATAATTTTTGTATTTTTTTGTAGCGGTGGGGCTTCACCATGTTGGCCAGGCTGGTCTTGAACTCCTGGCCTCAAGTGATCTGCTTGCCTTGGCCTCCCAAAGTGCCAGGATTACAGGTATGAGCCACTGTGTATGGCTGCAGGTGATAGTTTTACCAAATGTTTCCGACACTGCATGAATTGTCAACATTCCAACCTCCAGTATCATTTTCCTTACCATGCACTATCTGACTGCTAAGTCAATTTCACATATTTTAGGTTTTGTTTTGGCAGCATCCTTTTCAAGCAATGAATATCTGTCTTATCAAGCAAGATAGGTTGACTGCGCAACAATGCCAAAATTTCTGCAGTTAACCCAATAAAAGTTTATTTCTCACTCACACTACATCCATTGTGGACCAGTGGGATGCTCTGCTCCACACAGTCATTAGGGAATCCAAGATCCACATATCAGGTAGCTTTGCATCCTCTGTTCATGCTCCTCTGCTTTCAGAGGGTGGAGAGAGAAAAGTATGGAGGAACGAAGGTTGGAAAGTAAAGCATGCCACTCCCACTGGTATTTGACCAGTCAAAATGAGTTACACATCCCAAACTAGCTGCAGGCAAGACTCAGAAATGTGAATAAATTGTGTGCCCAGGAGGGAAAGAAAGAGAGCTTGGTAAACACACAGCCTTGCATTTGCCCCAAGTACTTTGAAAATATCTGAAATATGCTTTTGAACAAATTATTTTAAATAAATGAGTTTCAACAGGCTCAAGTCAGTTCCTAACATTTGTTAATATTTATAGCATCTCATCTGAAGGGATAAGGTGGTGTATGCTATCAAGACTTCTGGCTGGCCCTGGCACCTTGTTTGTATCTTGAGTCCAGCTGTGAATCTGGGAGAGGCCTGACAGTCTTTTCTGACCCCGTAGTTAAGCAATAGCTGGGAATGAGAATTCCTCATATCTTAGCTGAAGTTTGAGGTAAAATTCTAAACAAATGAAGATGGATATGAAGAAATGTAAAAGACATGAATAAACCAAAGCCAGAAAGAAATTAGGAAAAGATATT